AGAAGAAAGATGACTTTCTACTCACATAAGATTTACAGCCACAGAAACCCTATACAAGGTCATTATGAGCTAGAACCGACTCGATGGCACACAGCGACAGCAGCAGTGGGGTATAGGAGTCCTGGTGATGCATTGGTTAAGCACTTGACTGCTAACTGACTAGTCGGTAATATGAATCCATCCAGCAGCCCCACGGGAGCCAAGACCAGGTCATCTGTAAAAAGGTAGTAACAACCCATCAGTTTCTTAAGATGTTAAAAATATAGAGATACAATCTCATCTCTGCTGCACCTTCTGTTCCTAAAACTTATGTCAGATGCTAAGGGTTAAGTGAGCTTCTTCACACAAAGGCAGTCTGAAGACAGAGGAGCTCCAACCAGCAGTAGCTATGACGGTGCTACGGTTACTGTGATGCTGTGGGACTATGTGTCGGAGTAAGCAGCAGACAGCAGTTCTGGGCTCTTCCCTGAGCCTGGCCCCAGGAGGAAGGTGTTCTTGTACATAGCACTTGCAGATACTCACCTGCTGTTTACTGTGCTCCACTCGGAGGTTACCCAAGGAGGTTTGACTGAAAGGCAAAGGGAAATCAGAACGTATTTAACTTGGACAACGTTTCCAAACTCTGGAGATACTTACAGAGGAGCCAAAAATGGTTTTTGTTGTATTATGAATTAAGGTCTGCACGTCTGTTCTGAGTCACACTCTCCTAGACCACACACAACAATGTCAGTGTTGGTGCCATCAACAAACGAGTTTCTTAAAATATTTTTTTAAATATAAACTTCTTCTCTGGTCAATATTGTGTACATAAAGCATTTATTATATATGTGTGTGTGTGTGTGTGTGTGTATAAAACAATAGAGCTCCTTGAGAACTCAGAACTGCTAAAGCCAGCAGAGCTCCCCTGGCCTTGAGGCAGATAGGGCAGAAGCAAGCCTCACAGGTGGTGTTGACTGTATAGTGAACTCCTGCGGTCACACTTACCCTATTCATTGTTATCTAGTGTTCCTGTGAGCTGACTAATCCGCTATTTTTGCTTCTGTATTCCCTGCTTCAGCAAGTTCCTTTAGATAAGCCCCTAGACCCCCAGCCAAGAACTTAGCAGC